ATTCTTCCCTACACATGCCCTGCCTTTCTTTCCTTCACTATTTTGATCTGACTCCATCAAGAATCCTGACCTTGCCATTTTCTCCTGTCTGGTAGGATTTTACCTCATCTTTCAAGAAGGCCTGAACACCGTTGATGAGGACATTTGAGTGAAGGGACAAGAAGCTATATTTGGCCTCACCATATGAGAATATTCTGACAACTATGACCAGCTAGTACTAGAAAAGGCTGCCTTTTAAGGAAGTGGGGTCCCTGTCACTGGAGGTTGTCACAAGGTGCTGGGAATTAGCAGATAATTAATAGGTTGAGAGAGCATTTGCTAACCAGGGGAGGATAAACAGATTGATGCCATGGTCCTATCATCATGTTCCATTTCAAAACACAGGATAGTAAAACTAGATAGCTGTCCCAAGACTGAAACACAAAAGTAGCATATTAGAAAACTAGGCAGTCAAGTATGGCTTGAACCTGGGTACAACAAGATTAAAACAACCGTCAGGGACTGGGAGGTCCACATACAGCAGAAAAATATCATGGAGGGTGAAGCACAGAATATAGTCATGTCTTTAAACTTGGAGTCAGGGGTCTTGAGTTCAATTTCCCATCTCTCCACTTACTACCCATGCTAATTTGGGCAAATTGCTTAACATCTGTGGGCCTTATTTTCCTCATCTGTAAAATTAGTTGGCTACATTAGATGACTTCTAAGTCCCTTCCAGCTCTAAATGTATCTTTTTTTCTGCCTGTAGAATGAATGCTACAGGCACCATCTTCATCCGCCAACTTAGTTATGGCCTTAGGTGGATGCTTGCCAAACTGGGGATAGCTGTGTTTTTTACCTTTGAAATCTCTACTGTTGTCAGCTGGGTTCAAGCTACAGTAGCTTTTTCTTGTCTGAGTTCCTTTGACCCTTAGTAATCACCAAGGTTCCCACATTCTCTATGAGACACTAGGGCTATTTCTTAATAGCACTGATTGGGTGGGAACAGCTCATGATGTAGAAAAAAAAATCACTCTCTCTTTTTGATTCCTTAAAACTCTGGTTATATCTACAAACATTAGTAATCTTAGCTCTAAAGGCTTAGTGACTTAAAGACCAACATGGAAGTTATGTGGAGCTTCATGTAATAACACTACCAATTCCATAAAGGATGAGTGAAAAAAAGTTACAAGAGACTTCTTGCTACTTATGTACTTAAAAGTTACATCTCATCAATATGACTCGTTTTAATTAAACTGCCTAGTTTCTATTACTCTATCTCATACATATATTCCATTTACTTTTCAAGGGTAGGATTTGGTCCCTTCTATGTGACCCCTCCTTCTTGATTCTTTCACCTTCCTTAGTTTTCCTGACACTGATCTCTTCTGGTTCTTCTACCTCTCTGATCACCTTCTTCCCAAGCGGAGTTATTTCAACAATGTTCACACCCAGGGCAAGTTTCATGAAGTGTGCTTTGAAAGGAGATCCCAAGATATTTTGAGAATACTGCTAGGGTCATTATGAGAGGCAGTGAGATCAAGGAATCAGGGCAATCAAGGAGAAGGAAGATATTGCCTGGTACCTTCCTGTCTAAACCAACTAGGTGCTAATGAGATGCTAAACTAAGTTGTTTCTATGTTACAGAAAGACTGAACAAATTGTCAGTGCCCTATCTAAATTTCTATGCCCCAGGAAAAAGCTCTAGGTTTGTCACTATTGATTCTTCTTCCTCTTCCCCTAGCGTGTGAGTTCTCAACCTTTTTTGTATCATGGATCCTTTTAGCAGTCCAGTGAAATCTTTGGACCAGGACACTTCCTTGCTCAGAATTTTTTTTAAGGAATAGAAATAAAATATATAGTTACAAAGGAAATCAAAATAATAATCAGACCTTTTTTCAAAAGATACCAGACAAATGGTCACTCAGCATCTGCTTGAAGATCTTCAGTGTGAGGGAACCCCCAAATTTCTGTTGCATTCTATTCCATTCCATAGTACAGTGCCTGGCACATAGTAAGCACTTAAAATCCTTTATCTCTATCTATTTATCTATCTATCTATCTATCTATCTATCTATCTATCTATCTATCTATCTATCTATCTATCCGTCTGTCTGTCTGTCTATCTATCTATCTATCTATCTATCTATCTATCTATCTATCTATCTATCTACCTACCTACCTACCTATCTACCTATCTATCTAATGCCTAAAATAAAATCCCTGATTCTCCACCTCTCAAAATCTTTTTCCTTCCAAGCTTACCGAGAGCCACCATCATCTCCATGACAGCTTCCCTATTCACCCCAAATAGCACTCTCTTTGGCACAATAATCATATATAAGTATTATAATTACTTGTGTGCACATTTGGTCTTCCTACTAGGTTGTAATCTCCTTATTGTTTTGCCTCTATGTCCCCAATACCAAGCAGTATCCTGAACATGCATCCTTTGCATAGTAAGTGTTTGATAAAAGTTTGTTAAATTTGAATTGAATAATCTCAAGCACACATACTTGTGTTCATCCAGCAGTGTTCTTTTTCGTAAATTCGTTGCATCTTAAATTTAAGAGGACTCTCAGAAGCTGTGCTGTCCAACCCATACCTAAATAGAATTTTTTTTTCTGTAATGTGGCTAAAAATAGTCATCCAGCCTGTACTTGAATATTTCCAGTTATGAGGAACTTTACTACCTGACACTGCATAGCTGTCTAATGTGTCTACATATGAAGACAAAGAGGGGGGTGCAGAGGAGAGAGACACAGAGATACAGAGAAACAAAGAGAGAGGTGTCTCTGTGTATCTATATCTATGTTTGTGCACATGCACACAGACACACATGCACACATGCCCAGATCATTTCCCACTCCATTCAGAAGAATGTTGCCTAAAAACAGCCAGGATTCTTTGCTAGAAAATTTAACCTTGGAACTCTGATCTGGGAATTTCAGATACTGAAGTCTTAAAGCCTATGCTTTTATAGCACCATTAGTGAAATTGAAAGTCTAAAACCAGGTCCCTATCAAAATATTTAAATGGATATTGATTATAATTTCAGAAGAAGAGTCTGTAATAAGGAAAGATAAAGAAGCTAGCTTTTACCATGGGAAATGTAATATTGATTTAGAAGATACAAATATTTCCTCATGGAACTGACAGGAGACTAATAAAGTAGAGAGTCAAAAGAAAATGCCAATCTTAATGCCAAACATTGGCTGGCATTCCATTTTTATTTTCTTCATTAATTTAGAAGAATGTCATACTTTCTGTAAACATTTGTAGTTCATTTTTTCAGTCTTCTTTCCCCATGAGAAGAATCAAACCCCTCAGCACTCAGTGAGACCTCAGAATGTAAAATGGGACATTATCTTCATGGAGGTTATCTAACAGAACAGCAATTAAATTAATTAACTTTTATTAAGCACCTACTATTTGTTGAGCATACAAAGACAAAAATGAAACAGGCCCTGCTCTAAAGGAACTTACTAGGGGAAACAATATGTATACATATATAGAAGTGTTCTGGTAAATACTTAACAACTAGCTCTTCAGGGAAAAAATGTACACACAGCATACCTTTAAGTTTAATTTTCATTATTGATGTTTTCTCCATCACTTTCTTAATTCTAGAAAAGCGACGAAACAATAAGTTAAGCCCTAAGTTGTAGCGTTTGCTGATTTCTAAGGTATAAATGCTCACACTAAAAATTTCCCCATTGCCAGTATGAGCAAATGGCTCCATACTAGCAATTGGAAGGAGGAGTAATGTGCAAACTTGAAACATACTAACAAAATCTGCCATTATAATAAATTTCACTTTTTCTATACTTTTCTCAAGGAACCCCTAACTCCATTCAGTTTCTAAAGATTTTTGTTCCAAGTATGTTTTTGAAATTCATATGGATGCTTGGTGGTAGAGTGTGGGATACCCCAAATTACTCAATGCGCGTTCTTCTTGGGTCCTTTATTTAAGGGCACATTTTACTTCATAGTGATGCTCTCACATTTCTTACAGGGGTTTCATTTAATTGACTAGCATGGAGGGTACCAGACTAATTGCAGCAGAGTTCAAAAGGGGGAAGAAGCTTGGAGAGAAAGTGGAGGTAGTACCAATGGTAGGATGTTTGGATTTGGGTAACCCACTGAGAGATCTTGTTGAAATGTTCTTTCAGGAAATAATGAATTAAATCCCCAAACTTATTGAATACCTTCTGTAAGCAAGAAACTTTGCTAGACATTGTGGTAACACGGAGGTATACAGTGTAAGGTACCTTCTCTTGTTGTTGTCTAAACGAGAAAATGAGACATAAGAGTGTAAAAGTTTAAATCATAGTAAAAAAATCAAATATTCAAAAATATTCATCTAACCACAACAAAGTGGTTAGATGATAAGTGGCACAATTATTTACCCAATTAATTTTACAGATAAAATTTTCATCCAAAGTTGTGAGAAAAAAAAATCCTGGAATACACATATACAACATATTCTAAATCCCACTGAAAAATCATTTAAACTATATGTCAATTTTTTAGAGGCCTTCATGCTGCCTAAGGTAGAGTCAATTATATATTACTTACTAGTTTGGGCCTGAAATTAAATGGATTAAGGCAGTACATTAAATAGAGTCAGGAAGACCCGAGTTCAAATTTGGCCTCAGATACTGGTTGTGTAACCCTGAGCAAGTCATTTAACCTCTGACTGCTTCAGTTTCCTCACTGGCAAAATGAGGATATAATAGAACCTACTTCCCAGGATTGTTGTGAGCACAAAATGAGAACATATTTATAAACTGTGTAGTAACTCTTAAAGTACTATGTAAATAGTGGCTATGATTATCTCAGGATACCTAATGTTATACTTAAGTGAGTACCTATATAGTACCCCATGTTCAGTATAAATGTTGTATTTGAGTGGAAAAATAACAACAATGTGAAATGTGGGCAAAGCTAATATTCCTGCTGTGTGGGGACAAGACAGCACTTATCCAGGATGTTCACTGACTACTGTTTTCTACGTGCAGGAGGATTCACATCTCCAAGGCCACACTGGACTGCCTCAATGGTGATTATAACGTTGAAGAAGGGCATGGTAAAGAACGAAATGAGTTCTTGAGAAAACATAACATAGAGACCTATTTAATAAAGCAGCCCGAGGAAAGTCTCTTGACTTTGCCCGAAGACATTGTAAAAGAGTCAGTCAGCTCCTCAGATAGGACAAACAGTGGGGCCACGTTTACAGAAGGATCCTGGAGCCCCGAACTCCCATTTGATAACATTGTGGGGAAACAGAATGTAAGTCAAACTTTCCTTAATGTCATTATCTATAAAAGCATGCTTGAAAGCGTCTCAGTAATGGAAGACTCAGAAGAAACAAACTCATCTTTACCCTTTTCTCCAACATGCATTATTACTTTGAATGATTAAACACATCTCCTTAGGAAAGAATTAACCTATGTATCATCAGTTCTGGGAAATACTAGAGAGTTTTATGATTTAGTGTCGTAGAAGTTTGGTTTCATTCCCTCCTTCTTCATTTCTTTTTTTGGGCCCAACTAAAAATTTAATATTTATGTGATGTGATGCCATATTTTACATATACAATATATATACATATATATATATGTATATATATGTATGTGTGTGTGTTATATGTGTATGTGTGTATGATCCTTAAATATGTTAAAAGGTAGAATCAATGTTATTAAATTTACAAAGTCCCAGGCTGAGAGAGTAGGCTTTTAGGTGGCTTACATAATGAAATTCCTGAGGTTCCCCCCCCCCAAGGTCAGGAAGCCATAATTTTGCTGTATATGGAGAAATAACTGAGAATGATGCGTGACGCTTCAGGAATAATATATATTGTCTAGCATAGCCTCATTATTCTTCTCCTCTCACATGCTTTCAAAAGAGAAAAAGGAAAGTCAGAGCTATGACAATGGTTGCCTGACAAGCAATTTCTGAAATCCTGGCTAGCCAAGTGGAATTTGGGAATGATAATTGGTAAATGAAGAGAAGAAATGAAATCAGGATGCTTTAAAAAGATAATATTGTGAGTTAAAATGAGAAAAAGAAAAAAAAATCCTAGATTTGAACAATTTTCCTTGTCATAGGATTGTGAAATCTGCCTGCCTAGAGAAATTAAATATGGAAAAGGTTGAAAACCTTAGTGTTATCTCTCTTTCTTTTGAATCTAAAAGACTGATGGGTCACAGTGAGATAAGGTCAGGTTAAGGCCTTTCATTTGTATGGGAAATATGGGTGCTGAAATAAAGTATATTTTAGGCTTAACTTGCAGAAGCTGTTGGTTGAACTTGGCCAAAATGCAGTGTTTATGCCTCTATTGCTTTCTTGTGATATTTTCAGTCTTCTCCAGAATGTTTAAGTCCTCATATGTCCTCCTTTGTTTTCTTTAAAAGGTATTTTCTTTCCCTCCTTGGAGCTGTATATGGCATATTTTGCCTTGGTGCTAGAAGCTGATTTTATATGAGACAAGATAAATGGGATTACGTTGTGCATGACTTGCTGACTGTGAAATCTCTCCCAATGTTCTTTGCAAACTGTTACCTCAAGTATGAATGCTGATTATTTGGTGAAGATAAAGTCCATATTTTTACCCTAGGTTGTTGTTCCTAAAACTATTTTTCATTAATTTTTAACATTTGAGAGACTTTTGTTTATGCACACTTACACACACACACACACACACACACCCATACATACACTTTTTGCTTTATTTCCTTAGCCTTGCATTTCCATAGCTATTTTTAGCATTAGTAACTCAATTTATTTTGAAATCTTCACACCTTAAAAAGGTGTAATAGAAGTAACTATCCATTAAACTATAATAAAATCTTGGAGTTCTGGGACATTCCAAGTTTGTCATAAGATTAGATTAACAGTTATGAGTTCAAGTATTACATTCATTCCTTATGACCTAGATGTCAGTGTAATAAGTTTGAAATATACCAAAAAGAAAATAAAGCATATCAAGACTGAGTCTATACAGTGCCAAAATCTACTCAACTCACTCAAAAATCCAGTCAGTTCAAAAATTGGAATCACATATGTGAAATATTCAGATGGTGATTGACTGATACTGGCTGGGTTTTTTTTTTCCATTTGGATTGACCAATTGTTTTAGACTTTTGTTGATACAGCTTGTTATGTAGAATCATTGAAATAAGAATATATGGATGGATGGATAGGAAGAAAGAGAGAGAGAGAGAGAGGGAGAGAGAGAGAGAGAGACCACATTTGTTAAGCAAAGTATGCCAACTACATACCAAGGAAGAGACATTTATAAGCTAAGGAGTGTCATGAGAATGCCACCAGCTTAGTGAAGAGCTGCTAGACGCTACCATCTACAGACTGGTTGAAGGAATTGGATACCTGAAAATGAGGAGACTTAGGAGAGACGTGATAAGTATTCGAAGTCCTCTCATTTAGAAGAAGGTTTAGACTTGCTGTACCTGATCTCAGAAGGAGGCAAGCTCAATGGATGAAAGTTGCAAAGCAGCAAATTTAGGCTTGATGTTAGAGAAACTTCCTAACATTTAGAGCAATTCAAAAGTAGATTGGGCCTCATCTGATTGGGAAGGGAAGGAGAAAGTAATGAAAGAAGGGGAAGGAATAGAGAGAAGAAGGTAGGCAAAGGAGAGAAGAGAGAGAGAGAGAGAGAGAGAGAGAGAGAGAGAGAGAGAGAGAGAGAGAGAGAGAGAGAGAATGAACTTGGGGGTATATGTGTGTATGTGTTTTATTAAAAGAGCAAAAACAAAACAGAGATCTTAGTAAATATCCCAAAGATGTATATAAATCCCTGGAATAATCTTCTGAGTACCAAATTCTTGATAGCCATCCTCAAGTAGCTGAATAGCTGTTATCTGGAAGAGCATTTAAGTCATCCCTCTATCCCAAATCCTGCTTGCTGCTCTCTGTTACTTAAAAGAGGAGGAGTGGGGGAGGGAGACAGCACAACTGTCTCTAGCTTCTTACAAATTTTTATGATGCTATTAGCTCTTTAGTCGCCACAGCTTCTCAAACAACTCAAGAAAAAGTTTCGAGGGTTCTCCACTCTGTTGGTATCATCTCCCCCATGCAAATTGAGGGCACAAGCTCTAGCCCTTTCCTGCCCTCTAGGTATCAATATAAGCCCAATCTCAGGCTTTTTCTCCCCTCTTATTTCTCTTTAGTCTTTATTATATTTCTTGTCCCACTTATCCATAGAGATACTTATACACAGTATTTTAAATGAAAATAGATAAACACTTAGCAACAACTTTGAAAACTTTAAAGTATTATTCAAATGCTTTGCTATATTATTATCCTCATTATATATGCCTTTCAGGACATCCCAAGTATTCTTCCTAGTCAGTTAAACTCCCAATGGAGTACTGCATTGAACTCATTTCTGTCACACATTGTTGTAATCATGTAGCAATCTTTATCTTAATCATGACCATCATCATCATCATCATCATCATTATTGTGATATTGCGTATCTATGTACAATTCACATGTAAGAGAAATACGAAGGTTAGATGTTTCCCTAATGTTCCTCTGTTCCCTTTAAATATATATCTACGAACAAGAATGCAACCACATACTCACAGTTATATTAGACTGTCATCCTTTCTACTTGTGGTGTAAACCTTACGTATTTAATGTATATATTTTTCTATTTTTAAAAAAACGTAGGGATAAAGCTCTATTATAAGATGCAGTCTCTACTGAGATGAAATAAACACAGATACATTTAATACAAAACCAGGCTATTGTACTTTGCCCAAGAAAAGATTTATAGTCCAAGTAAAGAAAGCCTCTCTAACATAAAGTGTCCAAAACTGTGGTGAGGGGAACTCACCATAATATAGAGACCATAATATGCAAAGATTGACTAAAGAAATGATGACAGACAGGACAACAAGATGGGAAGAGTAGGTAGGAAGTTGATAACCCTCTTCAAATATTTGAAAAGCTGATACTAGAAAAAGCATTTGAACTTGTTCTGCTTGCCCTTAAGGTCAAAACTAGAAAACACATGAAATGTGTAAAGACAGAGTTAGGCTTGATGAAAGAAAATAACTAATATATACATATATAATACAAATAACTAATGTATAATTATAAAATAACAAATTTCCTTATAACTCAAGCTGCCCCAAAGTAGACTAGGCCATGGCATGCCTTGGTATTAATTTCCCCAATTCTCTCAACATTAGGGCAACTAGGTAGCACAGTGGATAAATCAATGGACCTAGAATCAGGAAGCCCTGAATTCAAATCTGTCCTCAAATACCTAGTAGCTGGTGTGGCCCGTGACAAGTCACTTAACCTCTGTTTGCTTCTGTTTCTTATGTGTTAGATAGAGATAATGATAGCATCTATCTCTCAGGGTTATTGTGAGGATCAAATGAGGTAATAAAGCTCCTGACACATAGTAAGCACTTTATATAAATACTTACTCCTTTCTCCTTTGCCCCTCTTCAAGAAGAGGCTGGGTGATCACATCTCAGAAAACTTGTAGAAAGGATTCCCACACATTCCTAGGTTGGACTAACTGACTAAACTCTGAAATCCTGTGATTATATATTTGGGAAATCAGTCTGTACAGGGTGAAATGCAATTGGGAAATTAAAGAATTTAATGAATCTTAGACAACGAATTGTTGTGAAATCAGCCCTTTTTCCTAGGAAACATCTCTAGTGGATGATGGCAATTTGCTAAGGCAGTGGTGTTCAGTTCAAATAGAAATTGGATCATGACTGGCTATATATTGACTTTGAATACCACATATTAACCTTATCTATGTTTTATTATACTTTTATTTATTTTGTTAAATAGTTTTCAATTACATTTTAATCTGATTCTCTAAGGGGAGTCTGACTAGTTTGGACTAGAGTATGACCTGGAGCATTAAAGATATCTCCCCATATCTATCCTGAGCCTTTAGAAAGCAGTTAAGGTTCATTCCTCCTTAGGATGAAAAGCTGAAGCCTGCACCCAGGCCTAGGATTTCATTCCTAGAGATGACCTATTGCTTCAGTCACAACACTTTGTGTGAGCAGAAAAACATATGAATTGAACTATCTTGCCTAGTTTCAGTCTCTGCTAATGCCCGGCCTATCTTGCGATTTGGCTCTGAATGTTTCCCTCTCCATCATGCTTACCATGCAAACAAGTGCTGTGGAGTATTAACAACCCGTCTGTGACTGGAAAAATTGCTTCACATACATATGATCTAAAAGGTCTGGCTGATGTGGTAAACACTAAAACAGGGCAGAAGATGAAGTGGA